GGGGAGGGACCCCTGTCTGAAGCCGGAGATGGAGCCTGAGGGCTCGCTGGCGCTGACGGGATTAGCGCTCAGCGCCCGGCCGAGGCGTGGCTTCTGCTTTGTTTCAGGAGGACTGAGTTGGGAGTTGGAAAAAGCCAACAAACTGACAGCATCTTTCGCTGCAAAGCGACGTGCTCCAACCAGTCCTCCTAAGGACAGCTGGAGCATCCTTCTGTCGTGCCCCCTCCCCTGAGTGCCCCTTAGTGCCAGGCTACGTGCCAGGGTGTCAGGCTCCCCCGGGGCATCGACTCCCACTTCCCCTTTTTCTCTAACCTGTTGGCAGCCCATCCTCACCACTGTGGCTATCCCCAGTGAACTTTCTAAAATGCGAGCCTTATCCTGTCGCTCCACCTTCCATTCCATTGTCTGCAGGGGAGAGTGCACTTTCTTCAGCCCCGACTCGGGGCCCTCTGGGAGTTGGCCATCCCTTACCTCCACTCAGCCCTCCTGAGGCTGGCATGCTGGTCCCTTTCCCTGGGTTCCCTTTTCTCCACCATCACTCTGCCTCTCCCACTTTTTTGAGGTTTAAAATCTTCTCCATCCTTGTAGACAACTCCTGGGCTGAGGGACCACCCCCGATTTCCCCTCCCCCTAGAAGGATGGTAGGTAGGTCTCTTCTTGGTTGCAGCGCTCACAGCAGTCAGCTTGGGGCACTACCCACGCTGTTTCCCACAGACCCCTCCCTCCTGGCAGCCGGGGCCCTGTCTGTCTCAGAGTAGTTACTGCCTCACAGCAGGCCCTTAATGAACAGCTGTTGAACCGAGTTCAAAAGTCCTGTTTCATGGGAAAGTGGGGTTGTTAGCCTGAGGAAGGTGAAACAGGGTCCCTTTAAAAAAAAATTTTTTTTTTAAATGTTTTTACTGATTTCAGAGAGAGGAAGGGAGAGGGAGAGAGAGCTAGAAACATCAGCTGCCTCCTGTATGCCGCCTACTGGAGATCAAGCCTGAAATACCAGCATGTGCCCAGACAGGGAATCGAACCTCCAGGCCCACGGGTTGATGCTCAGCCACTGAGCAACACCAGCTGGGCGCTGGGTCCCTTCTTGAATCTGTCCTCAAGATCCAGGCTCATGAGGTACCAGCTCTGGGAGTAAGCGGCTTTCCCTAGCGTTGGTCTTGGACTGCCTTACCAGCAGTGACAGGTCTGGCTTTCAGCGCTGGCTGGCTAATCACTTGCTGTGTGATCTTGAGCAAGGTTCTTTCCCCACCTGTACCATGAGGGAGGCCCATATGATCCCCAAGGTCCTTCACAGTATAGAAAGGTGACATAAGGAGTTGTCATGAAGCTGAAATTCACGATGATAGGTGGTGATGGGGCAAGAGCATGGCAGATGTGAGAGAGCATTTTGAGACATCAACTCTTTTCTCCATAAATCAAGAGAAGATCCACAAATTCTCTAAAGCCACGTTTTAATCAGTTATTTCTGGCTTCTCCGCTGAAACAGTTCTCCTGATCTGCTGATGTTCAGCTGTGCGCTCATTGTTCTGTCCGCTCGCCCATCAACCCATCTCTTCCTCCCTTTCCTTCCTTCTCTCCCCCCCTTTCTTCCATCCATTCCACCATCTATCATATCAGCTCTGACCAAGCTGTGGACTCAGTGCTGTGGAGGGCATGACCCTCATCCTCAGGAGTGTTCATTTGGATTGTGAAAGGAACCAATGGATCAAATGATCTGGGGATGAAGGACATGCTTCAGTAAGAGGTGGGAAGTGACTCAAGCCACAAGACAGGTGCAGGTGAAGAGCAGTGGGAGCTCAGGGGAAGGAGAGATCCTCTTTGCAAAGGGGCCTATTGAAGGCTCCTGCAGGAAGTAGTCAAATCCCAGAGAGTCTTGGGACCTGAGACCTGGGGTGCCAATGGAGGGTATTCATCTGAAAGTGGCAGGACCAGAGCTGTGCCAGGGTGGAGGGTGGATCAGGTCGGGAGAGGGTGGAGGTGGGGGTCAGGAAGAGGTTGCTGCAGTTATTCAGGCAAGAGATGACAGAGGCATCTAAGGGACTGGAGAGGAGAGGGTGGGTTTTGGAGATGGTACCCTCAAGCTAACTTAGGCGACTTAATTTATGAATGAGAGGAAAGTGTTAGAGGTATGTCTGGGTGCAAGACAGTGGTGACACTTTCTAGGACTGAAGATACAGAGTCAAGCAGTTTTCAGAGGAGGGGGACAGTGATAGAAAGCAGGTTAGAGCTGGTTCAGGCAGGTGCCACCCCACACACATGTACACATACAACCAGGGACCTTCCAGAATGCTGGCCCAGGCCTCTCCCTCATAGCCACATGAATTTTATTTGTCTCTCCCAAAGACTGTCAGCCCCCAGGACAGTGTCTGGCTCCCCTAAGGGTCTCCAAGAGAAAGTGACTTTTGGGGGTAACCCAGGCCAATGGGCCTTTAGCGCAGGCCCAGCCTTGAAGCTCCAGGCCACTGCCCGAGGTCTGCACCACAAGGCCAGTAGTACTCACAGATGTGTAGACACACAGGGGCTTTATGTGGTTTCATAAAGACCGCTGTAAGGAGCCAGTCCCTGCATCTTCTGTGCCTTAGTTTCCTCATCACTGCATAGGAGCCAGTCTCTTTTATTTTTTTAAATATGTTTTTATTGATTTTTTTTTTAGAGGAAGAGGAGGGGAGAGGGATAGAGAGATAGAAGCATCAATGAGGGAGAAACCATCTATTGGCTGTCTCCTGCATGGCCCCCCTGGGGATCATGGAAACCTCTAGTCCCTAATATAGTGATTACCAATTATTAAGCCCCTAGTGCATGCCAGGCTTGGAGCTAGTTCTTATCAACTGTATAGATTTATAGAGGCTGAGTAGCATGCCCAAGCTCAAACCTTGACCAGTAAGTGGACAAACTGGCATTTGAACCAGTTCTCTGACTTCCCAGATGTGGGCTTTCCCCACTACCACACTGACCACTTGTCACCTGCTCCCTGCCTGCTTCTCAGCCTGGAATCTGGCGCAGTAAGGACTTCTCCACACCCTCTCATTATCTCTAAGACTCTTACCGTCCCCTCCACCTGCATCTGCCATCAGAGAAGAAAGCACTTAGATATCAACTAGCCCAGGAATTTTCTACTGAGCGGGACCCTGACACCTCTGCAGGGTGAGGCTGTGGGGGCCACATCAGTCCCAGCTGTTCCATTTTCATCTGTTGATTTTACTGAAAAAAAAAAGTTCAAAGAAAGGGCTTCCCTGCTTTGAAAATATTTTGAAAACCACAGATGTCATCCTTCCTTCTTACGCAGATGGGGAACTGGAGCCCAGAGGGGCAGGGACTTACCCAGTGCTCAAGGCAGGCCTGAGAGGCCTGAGTGGCCACAGGAAGGGCTGGCGAGTGGACACTGGCTGCCCTGGCTCCTTCAGCCCCTCAGTGACTGTCTGCAAATGGTCAGCCTGGAGCACATGCTCCGGGACACCCTTGTTCCTATAGGCAACTGAGCCACTCTTCATTGACCATCATTCTTGCTTAGGGAGAGGAAAGTATGTGTAAAGTGGAAAGTATCTGAGATTTGGAGCAGAAGAGGGCTGTTCTTAGATCTAGCTCAAATGTGGACTCACTGTGTGAGATTGTGTAACTCACACGTCCTCCCAAAGACTGCAGCTTCCTCATCTGTAAAGGGAAGAACATGATCCTATTCATTTGCTTAATCATTCACTCAGCAAATATATGAGCTCAGAGGTACTGAAAGAGGTCATCAAAGATCGATTGAAATAGCAGCAGCCCTGCTTCCGTGGAATTCAGGGATGGGATCTGACTGGGCAGCGTCTCCCAAATCCAGAGGCTAAAGGGTCTTGGCTCAACAGTAATGATATAATTATAATTGACATTGAATAACTTCATTATATTGCAGAACTGGTCTAAAGCAATGACAGATTAATTCTTTTAATTCTTACAACAACCCTGCATGGTAGATACTGTTATCCCCATTTTTCTATTCTGGGGAAATGAGACATAGAGTGAGTAAGCACCTTGTCCATAATCACACAGCTAGTCAAAGGCAGAGCTGGTATTTGCCTCTTGAATTTCCTGGAACCCAGGCTGAAAGAACAGAAGCTGCTCTTTTTTTTTTCCCCCTCAACTTCTTATTCTTTCTTCCTGATAAACCAGTTTTACCCCAAAGATGGAACCAGGTCACTATCCAGTGTTAAAGAACAGCATTCAACCGAGTAAACTTGAAGATCTAATTGGCTTTAGTCAGCAGTTCATAGGGTTCACTGCTTCTAGCAACTAGAAGGGCACTCTGCTGAGTTGTACAAAATGGAAGGTTTTTATAGGCAGAAAGAGGTTGAGACTAAGAAGTTAAAGGAGTGGGTTATTTTAGGCAGGGTCACCTCACCTTAGAGGGAAGCAGCAGGTCTTATCAGGCAGTTTGCCTTACTAGTGATCAGGAAATTCTAGACTGATTGGTTTAAAATGCCACTCCTAGGAGAAGCCGAAACTGCAATTGGGTTATTAAGTTTTGGTTTGGTGAGGGGGCTTAGCAAAAGTGACTCAATTTGGGCCTGTTGTTTCTTTTTTAACACCAGTTTTTTGTCAATGGGGAGAAGGGGCCTGTCCACAATTCTAGTCCTGGGCCTCTTTGGTGGGCAGTGGGGAGAGAAATGAGTCAAGCTGGGCTCTAGGAGGCCTCAGAAGAGGGTAGATGCTGAGGGAGGAGCCTGTCCTAGCCAACAGCCAGGAGGGAGGAGGGGTGCAGACCTCCTCGGAGTCTTCATTTGGCATTTAGAAGCCCAGGCCCCAGAGGACCTTCAAGAGCCCCCAGCTAAGATGCCTGTGCCCTCCACTGCCGCAGACAGCTCAGCCCTGCCACCTTTCCTCAGCCCCTCAGCGGCAGGGAGCCCTGCGGACAGCTCCTTCCACCTTTCAGCAGCTCTAACCTTGAGCCCCAAGCCCGCCCCTGGAGCTTCTACTCCTGCAGCCCCTGGTTTTCTCCTGGGGCCTGAGACCTTAGTACTTTTCTCTCCCATCTCCTCTCCGCTCAAAGATTTGAAGGCAGCTGCCACTCTCCCTGGGCCTGACGCTCCTCCTGGGGCTGTCATCCCCTCTGTCTTCTCTGTGACTTCCTTTCACTGGTATCCCTTAGGGGTGGTATGGAGTTAAGGACAGTGTTTCTTTCCGCGTGGGCCTACCCCTGAATCAGTTGTGGGAATGTGAGCAGGTTACTTTCCTTCCTGAGCCTCAGTTTCCTCATTTTAAAAAGTGGTTACAGCCCGGCTGGCGTGGCTCAGCGGTTGAGCGTCAACCTAGGATCCAGGAGATCACGGTTTGATTCCCGGTCAAGGCACATGCCCGGGTTTCGGGCTCGATCCCCAGTCGGGGGGAGTGCAGGAGGCAGCTGATCAATGGCTTTCTCATCATTGATGTTTCTCTCTCTCTCTCCCTCTCCCTCCCTGTCTCTGAAATCAATAAAGATATACCGTTTAAAAATAGAAAAATTTAAATTAAAAAGCGGATACAGTAGTGGAAGCTCCCACAAAAAGGTGGCGAGAAGTAAATGAAATCACGCACAGGCCCAGCACCAGCAGTGGTTGGCCAACATGCAGAAGAAAGGACCTCCCTGTTCCAGCCAGCACCCTGAGCCTCAGTGTACCCTCCTGTGAGGACACAGTCCCTCTCTCCCCATTGTGGGGTGGCTGTGAGGGCTCTCCCTGCCTAACACAAGGATGGGTGGGTTTGGTTTTTTTGCCTTTTTTCCCTTCTGTTTATCTTTGTCCTTGGGTTTTTCTACAGAAGTGGGGTGTGCCTCTTGCTGGGTGCAGTCACCAGTGTTATCTCACCTCCCTGAGGCTGAGGTCCTGCTGTGAGGCGCCACCTGGGCTGGGACTGGCTGCCTTGGTGGAAGGGGACTCCTGGGACCAGTCAGAGGCATGGTAGTGGGGCCTCCATGCCTCCCAGTAGGGGTGGGGACAGAGGGCTCCCCTCCTGATTACCAAAAAGTTCTCTTGACCCCTTCCTGGGAACCCTGGCCCAGGGACCTGGCCCTGCTGGGGACAATGACTGGCTTTGGCTTGTAGGCACCAAGCTTAGGGTGAGCACAGAAACTTTCACTTTTGTTTCTCTCAACTTCCCCTATTCTGGGAGTGCAGTGACCTAGTTTTTAGCAGCCTTGTAAATGTCCCTCTCTGCCAAGGAAACTTCAGGGCCACAGCACTACAGGCCCAGAGTAGCCTGGCCCGACACTCGGGGCTGCCTGTAAACGGGCTTCCCATGCCTGTCCTGCCCATATTACTGCGACTGGACCTCACTGGACTGCGCTGCTGGGCCCACAGTCCTCAGGGTCGGTACTACTCACTCTTCAATTTATCAAAAACCCCTGGACAGCTCAACCACTGTGAGGAACAGTACCTTCATCTCCCCTGTGTCAGTATCTCAGCCAGAGCTCCTGAGGGCAAGTTCCGGCCTTCTCCTCATGTGCCCTCAGAGGCCCAGTGGGATTTGATTTGAACACTCAGGGGCCCCGGGGGATCTGGCTGAGAGAGGGGAAGAGGATTCCCTGCTGGCTCATCTGCTCAGCCCCTGGGGTGAAAAGACAGCAGAGGAGGACAGCTGGTGAATGTGACTTGGGGCAGTGGAAGGAATGAATGGTGCTTCATTCATTCTCCAGTTTACACCCCCCTGCCCACAGCCAGGCCTTGGGGACAGACTCCTGCCAGATGGAACTAGCTCAGTTTAAGGGTTCTTTGTAGCCCTCACTCCTAAGCCACCCAACTCATCCATTTCCACGGAGGGGCACTCCCAGATCCCTAAGGCTGTCGCTCAGGGCCTTCGCTATGGAACCTGAACAGGTGGCCTGGGATTGGGTGGACGGTGCTGCTGGGTGGAGGGCAGGTCAGTGGATGGATGAATGGATGGCGGAGAGATGGGTGGGGCTCCATTTCAGATCCAAGTTGATGTGACTTCTGTCCACTGTTGACCATGCCTGACCTTGGCTTTACCCACTTTTCTCTCCCTAACCCGCCCCCTTGCCCTTGCCCTTTCTAAGGTCATGACCCGTTGGGCACAGGCTCCACCTCATCCCTCAGTGCAGCTCTGAACCCAGCACCACCTCGCGCTTTCCCACACTCTCCCCTCATTCTTCTGCCCCAGTGCTGCCCTCCCCTGGCCCTCTCTTCACCTGCCCCTCTGCCTTCTTGATTTTACCAGCCCAGTGTGGGTACCCCCCACCTCAGCCACGCTTGTTCTCTCTGAGCAACCCTTCACCTGACCTTTCCCGTCCCCACCGCACACCACAGGTCCAGTCTGAGATACCTAGACCCCTTTAAACATTTTCTTTCAGAAGTCTCATTGCTCACTGCCCAGCCCCAGTCCCCCCCCCCAACATCTGCTCTGTACCCCCGGCCTGTCCTCCACTCAGCAGCCAGCAGGAACGTTCAGAAATGCCCATCTCAGCAGCTCACTCCTCTGTTCCCAATCAGTTGCTTCCCGTTGCTCCAGATAAAAACCCAGATCCCCAGCATGGCCCGCCCGGCCCTGCATAATCCCTGGGGTGCAGATGTGCAGAGCTGTGGAGGGCAACAGCAGGGGCGGGGCAGGAGTCACAGTCGCCCCTTTGGCTGCGGTACTGAAGGGGAGCCTGGCCACTGGCCTGAGGTCTGAGCTGAGGGGTCCTCCGAAGCCTGCCATCGTATTTTGGTGGGTCTTTTCCCTGCACTGAGACATTCTCCACTTTGAAATCATTGCAGCTTCCAAACAGTTTAATAACGAGGTCCTGAAGGCCCACAACGAGTACCGGCAGCAGCATGGCGTCCCCCCGCTGAAGCTCTGCAAGAAACTCAACCAGGAGGCTCAGCAGTGAGTCCCCCGGCACCCGGGGTGACGGGCCCTTCACAGAGCTGCTGCTGCGGCCAGAGGGCCCTCGGGTGGTTGGAGGGACATGAATTTGGGGGGCAGAAACAGCCAGGCTTGAATAACCACTCTGCCACTTATCTAAGCAGGTCCCTTTATCCCTCTGAGCTTCCGTTTGCTCCTCTGTAAAATGGGGTGTTTGGGGGACTCAGAAGAGATGCAGGTGTGAGCCAGGTAGGGAAGCGTGGCCACATCAGTTTAGGGCTCAGACTTTGGGGCTTCCCTGGGCTGGGCTGGCTCTGAGGAAACACCATGGTCTCTGGCAGGTATTCGGAGGCCCTGGCCAGCACGAGGATCCTCAAGCACAGCCCAGAGTCCAGTCGCGGCCAGTGCGGAGAGAACCTGGCCTGGGCATCGTACGATCAGACAGGTGGGTGCTTTCTCGGCTCCCCTGCCCCCTGCCCTCTGCCTTGGCAGCCAACATTCAAGCCCCTCCTGGGCCCCAGTGCCCTCCATGGTGTAGCTCTGTGACAGCCACAGGCCCAGAGAAGGAAAGGAACCTAGAGCTGGGCCTGCTCCTGGGAGCTGGCTGCAGCTCATCACAGGGTCCCTGCTGGCCAGCTCAGGGCCAGGCCTTCCCTGCTGCCAGGGACACAGGGATGAGTCACACTGCCCAGACCCCCCTTTTGGAAGGGCTCCCAGCTGAGGAGTAGGGTGAAGGACACAGACTGCCTCAGAGTCTCAGCCTGACCCTGCAGCACCCATGCAGCCCCAGCTACAGAAGAATTTTATTTTTGTCATATTTTTCTAAATTTTTTTACAGTGCTGGTGTATTAACTTTTTCATTAGAAAAGGACAATAGAGCTTTTGCCATGTTGGGGGGAAAAAATCACAATAATGGGACAGACAATTCCTCATCTGAGGATCTAGCCTGGAATGGCGAGCCCACCACACTGACCAGACATTCTTGAGCTTCCTGGCTCAGAAGGCCCTGTCCTGGCTTTTTAGGAAAAGTGTTGGAGAGCACTACCTCCCTCTCTGAAGCTTTCTCCAAACCCCAGCGGGAGAATGGCTCCTCCCTCCCTGGCCTCACATTCCTGGGAGTTCCCTGGGGAGGCCCAAGTGTCCTCTTGGTTTCCCCAGCTCTGTGGCCCTCCAGGAGAGATATGCGCATGCTCCTGAGGAAGGCAGGCGTCCACAGCCTGCAGCCGCCTCCCCAGGCCTGGTTTTGGGCCTGGTGGGCCTAGGGGAGGAGGGACAGGGATGGGAAAAAGCCAGTGGGAGACGTGGTTCCATCCTGGCCTTGAACTGGCTCTCTATGGAGCCTTCAGCAAATCCTTACATTCTCTGGCCCCAGTTTTCCCATCTCTACAGAGAGGAGGTTGGGTAAGTGGTTTCTAAGGCAGTGGTTCCCCACACTGGCTGCACACTGGGATCTTTTGTGGTGCTTTTAAAAACACCAGTGCCTGCCCGGCCGGGTATGGCTCAGTGATTGAGCATCGACCTAGGATCCAGGCGATCGGGGTTCGATTCCTGGTCAGGGCACATGCCCTCGTTGTGGGCTTGATCAATGACTCTCTCATCATTGATGTTTCTATCTCTCCCTCTCTCCCTCTCC